CAAGGTTGGTTTTTTTTTCTTTCCTATTGGGAACTAAATTTAAATTTACAATCCTGTTATGACACTTTGGGTTTCCTGTGTGCTTATTGTTTGCTTGGGTATTCATTTAAGTGTTTTACAAGTTTTATCATCTTTGACCCTCAGTGTAACTTTGTGAGGTAGGGATTGGTTCTGCTATTTATAGGTAAAGAAAGTGAGCTATCATGGGTTATGTAACTTTCCAAAAGCCTCAGAGCTAATAAAAGATAGAGATAGAATTCAGACCCAGGCATTTGGAATCCAGAGTCCTTACTCTGTCCCACTGACATTCAGAATGTAGTTTTATCCTCATTTGAAACCTGTGACACCAAAAAAATAGACCTGCAAGAAGTTCAAAAATACTCTTCCTCCTGGAAGATCATTTAAAGTTAGGCAATAAAGTAAAGGTAATATAAATTTTCTAGGGTGCTAGCAGGAATTGATGGAATTACACAATTTAAAGGATAGAGCTAAGGGACACCTCTCAAGGCTTCTGATAAATGGGCCGTAAAAGTGCTCAAAGACCACTGCAGCTCAGACACATTCTTCCGGCCCTTGAACTTTGCTGGCTCCTAGAGTAGGTTACAACATTTGCTATTATTTTTCTGTGGCCCAGGAAAGGAAGGAGAAAAAGACCACAGTGGGCCTGAAATGACCCTTCCGGGTCACTTCTAGAAAAGTGATCAGTTTCAGAGTGTGAGACTGTATGTATGAGTGTGCATGTCTGCCATAGCACAATATTTCAAAGTAAACAAACACAAAATGGTTCCTGAGTCCTTTCATTATTTTCATATTCTTATTTTTTTGCAATGGTTGGTGTGTAGTAGTACTCAATAGATGTTTGTTGAGTGAACAAATTACCCCTACTATCCAATGTATTTTGGAGTGGGGAAGGAGGAAAGGGTGGAGTACATCTTCATAAAGGCCCTTTGTCTTTTTTGCATTTTGGTTCAAAATGCTCAGCTCTGCAGTTTTGTATATGTGAAGCTTTTTGAGGATGTCACTTACCACGGGAGAGACACTCCTTCCTCACCCTCTCCAAGCACATTCTTCATTTCAAGACATATAACTTACTTATTATGTTATGCTAACGAAGATACAACCCTGCTTTAGAATGTGCCGCACTCTCTGAAAAGCAGGAAGGAAAGAACCCTATAAATACAAGGAATCTGGACCAGAGAACATTTTATTATGAGACTCGCTCCTTTCTTAAAGACAGTAAACATGATGAATTTCTCTTTGCAACTGAATTTATGAAGATAGATGATTCTCTCTGTGGTTGTTTTAACTGGGTTTGCCTTGCGGTCTGAAGCATAGTAGCAAACCCACATGAATACATTTATTGCCATCCCTAATGACAGGATACGATGTCTTCTGTATGACTGAGTAGGACTTAGGAAAATGACATCGCGTTTTAACATAGGAGTGGAGGAGGATTCATTCGATTTCCAAGCTTTAGCAGAAAAAACCTCAGTACTTCTGTCAGGGAACCCTCTGACTGTCTGAAATCCCTCTTCTCCTACAACTTTTTTATGTAGTACTCTTTTCAGAGTTGGATTGGCAAAAACAAAATCTTTAGCTGAGACTTTTTTTAAATACCAACCCAGGAATTGGTGGCAGAGCTTTGTGTTTGATTTTTACGCGTTCACTTCACACTGGCTTTCTGCTGAGCCGACGCAGAAGGGAGAAGTCACGGGAAGGGGGGCGGGCACACAGGGGAAGGGAAATGGAAGGTTTCTGAGTTCAATGTTTAAGTGTCTTTTTCACTCAACACGCCGTTCAAGCTCGAGTGCACATACACAGCCACACCAGGGAACTGGCTCCACTTTGCTAATGATGGCAGAGCGCATCATTGACTATGCACATCACAGAAGAAAGCCATTCTGCTTAGCTCTAATTCCATCAGGATCATTTACCTTTTGAAGGATAGAAAAGAATGAATTGAAGATCAAAATCATCAGCCTTATTTGGCTTCATCTAAGATTTATAGCAGCTGCTTTCAAGGGCAACCGAAAAAAAAAAAAACCCAACTGCAGAATTCACATCTGTACCATTTCTTGTCTTTCAATATTTTATAAATGTTACGAGCAAAGTCAACCTCTGGGGACATTAAAATTAAAGAACCTCTATCCCTCCCCTATATTGGTATGAGAGCATATATCAATAATCGCTACATTTAACTGCTCTCATCTGTAACATACCTTTTAGGATTAGCTGTCTCGGAAGCCTACATTTAGTTTACTATTCATTTGCCAAAGGTTATTGTAATGTGGCATCCGTGTCTTTGTGATGACAAAAGCATTAAACTTTGATTTAAATTGTTAATAATACAGTGCCCATTTTTGCCAGCGTTAGACTTGAATTCATTTTTTTAAGCAAACATTTAAGGGACATCAACCAACATTTGAAATGAAGATATATTGTTCTTAATTTAAGTGCTTTGATGTGCAGCCAAAATAAAATTAACATATATATATATATATATATATATATATATATATATATATAAACAGGAAGGCATTTACTCTGTGATCTCTGAGGAAGTAAATAAGGTTGCTTTGGTTTCTTTAGATGCTTTGATTAGTTTTGACAGCAAGAAATATATCTTGCATCCATATGATAAAAGACTACAATATAAGTGAGGCTGATAGAGTGGCTCACAAATTATCCCAGGGATCAAGCTCAGTGGACAAAATTGATAAGGCAGATTAGTTTTCTATTTGCAAGGTGTTCAAGAGCTCTGAACTTCTCTTTTTATAGTAAAATGCTTAAAGAAATCCCAAGTGGAACAGCTCCAACGCAACTTCTTCATGGCATCTTTTATTATTTACAACAGAAGGACTTCACATCAGCCCTTCCCAGATGGGCCTGCAAGTATCTTAGCTCTCAGCTGCAATGCTCCTGGTCACAAGAAAGGTAAAATGTCAAATGTCAAAGGGAAATGGATATGAACTAAGTAAATGACATCCATCATGAGAAGTGCTTAATATTGAATGAATAGCTGTTGCTGGAATGAATGGAGCCAGAGAGATCTAGGTTCAAATCCAAGTTCTGCCATTTACTGGGCCATCTTGGGCACATTACTTAACATCTCTGATGTTAAGCTCAGTATCTTGTCTTGCAAAATGGAGATTTTATAGCTGCCGTGAGAATGAGATGATTTAACGTATCTGTTAACAGTGCTTGATGCATAGAAGGGGCTGGATAAATATGAGTTCTTTTCCCTAACGCCTACTCATTAGAATTAAATATGATATTCACAAAATGGTCATAAGTAGCCATTTCCCTTTAGGAGTATATTATTTATTTAAGACATTTAGGTAAAAAGTTAATAATTACTCCTGGGTGGGGTCCTGTATTATGGATATTGCTGTCACATTCACAGATATGTTGAATGAAGAGGGGGGAAAGGGGAGGGAGGCTGGGAGGGAGCCTGTGCATCCTCTTAGTTAGGCTCCTAGGGGCATGTGACTCACTTGGGGCGCATCAGTATTGGGATTGGGTCTTTAGCTTCAGACCATCATTCCATTAAATCTGCACACGGTCATAGTTCCATTTTTATCGCTTTACCCCCGCTCCTCTGTCCTCTATCTTTGCCTCCCCCACCCTACCCCTTGTTGCCTTGTAAGTTGGCATTAGGTTTCCCCAGCTGGTAAGGAGGAATGGGCATAGAATTAGATCTTACTTAGGGTCATTTGTCTAAGAAAATACGGTGATGCTTTGAGGTGTGTTTTGGGGAATCATCTATCTTAGTAGGAGGTTGCAAAGACTTTTGAGAGAGGAGGTAAACACACAAATAACTGGTTCCAACCTGTGCCTGGTAAAAAGCATTGTACTCACCAACACCTCAGGTATGCAAAGCAGTCATGGGATGACAGACATTTTCCATTTTAGGAAAGTTTACTTACAGCTGAAACAATCTTCATTTTCACCCTAGCAGACGAGACATTGCTGGGATCTCTGACCATGTCCCTCTGATTATACGCTAAGTGTCTCAGACATGATTTCCCTTTCTCGAAGACTCAGTGCCCTTCCCTGTGGCGGGGTGCCTCCGGGGCATGCTGGGGGCGTGGGGGCCGATGGCCTTCACAGTAACTACCTCAGGCTGCTGTGCTCGCGCTTTTACACTTTGCCTTTTCCTGACGCTGTTGGCTGACACCTCACCAGCCGTCAGATGTCCCAGCTGCTCTCACCCCCTGCCTTATTTTACACCCAATTGTAGGAATGATGGCTTGAGGGTGGATCCACCTCTTCTCAGGAGTTAAATGTGTGCACTTTATGACAGTCATTTTCCACACAGTAAGCGTTTTTTTCTTTCTTCTTTTTTTTTTTTTTTTTACCTTTAAGTTCTAGATGGTGAGAATGATCAGTAGTGCAGATTCTAGGTAATAAATACGGTGCTAATTGTTTGTTTTGTAATTCTAAGTTTTAAAAATTATAATTGTATACTTTGTGATTATATAAATGCATAATTTTATTTTAATACTAATATATTGATGCATTTATTCCCAATTTCAGGCCTACCAAATGCTGGACACAATGCTAAGCACTGGAATTCTAATAATGTTGAGCAAAACAAGGTGGCTTTTACCTTCATGGAGTTACAGATTAAAGGGGCAGGCAGACCATCCAATACATGCACAAATGCAAAACTGTGACTCTGCTAAGGTGTACAAAGGAGTAGGTATGCTATAGGAATCCAGTCTTGTCCTCCTCCTTGGGGGGAGGGCATTCCAGTGTAATGACTTTGAGCTAACCTGTGGAAGATGAATAAGGAATAGTGAGCCTGAACATTTATAAAGTGATCTTTCCTTTCTCAAAGATGTTCTCTGGGGCGCCTGGGTGGCTTAGTCAGTTAAGCGTCTGACTTTCGCTTGGGTCATGATCTCGAGGTTCGTGGGTTCGAGCCCCGCGTCAGGCTCTGTACTGACTGCCAGCTCAGAGCCTGGAGCCTGATTCGGTCTGTGACTCCCTCCCTCTCTCTCTGACCGTCCCCTGCTCACACTGTCTCTCTCTCTCCTAGAAATAAATAAAACATTAAAAAAAAAATTAAAAAAAAAAAAAGATGTTCTCTACCCATTATGTCATTTATACCCCCCCACCAACCCATTGAACCTTTTTACCAGGTGATAGATGATGGGTGACTCAGGTGTCCGGAGAGCTTTTGTGACTTGCCCCACGTCACAAACTAGCAAGGGGTGGGACTGGGATAAGATGCTAGGCTGTTTTTACAGTCTTAAGAAGTGGGGGCGACATAACTGGGCTTCATTACCCTCCATTATCACTTGGTCTTTGGCATTGTCTCCTGTGGGATGGGGATGGTTAGTGCCTGTTTCATAGCTGTTGAGGGGGTAGGATGAGATGGCAAGGAGCAATCATTGATTCTTTTCCCTTAGCTTCCTTCCATTGTGACCACTTCCTGTCTCCACTATTGCACACATGGCATGCTCTGTGGGAGGGAGGCATCCTGCAATGAGGGCCACGTTTTGTAAATCACCCCTATATTCCTCATATATATTGGTTCTGGCAGCTTTACACAGACACATGGGCTTAAAGTACATGCATCCTTCCTAATATATCAGGACAGGGCATTGCACCTTTATTCTTAGGCGGCTAAAGAAGGAGTCTTCCATTCTGAAGTTGGCTCCCCAGGTGGCTATGGTAAGCTGACTCACCCATGGGACCGAGCCAGGTTCGATGATTTTTGCTCTCAGTGGTTTGCAGAAGGTCATAGTTTGATTAAAACCCAATTCTGGTAACTAACTCATTCCAGCTATCTGAATAGCTCTTTTTTTTTTTTTTTTTTTCATTAAAACCTATTTTTGGTCATTGCATTATATGGTTTTACGTATTGCCAGACAGCCTGCTTCTGGGAAACAGGCGGCTTATACAAGAGGCAGCATAGGCGGCAGAGTCAGAGTCCTGGCTTTGGATCCATCTCTCAACTCTTACCAGATGGTGGCCTTGATTATTCAGTTATTCAATTTCTCTGCTCCTTATTTCCTTGTCCAAAAAACGTGGTCAATAGCAGCTTTTTTGTACAGTTTGCTAGGTAATTAAGAGAAATAAATAAGAGAGACACATATGGAAGCATTCGCTTCTGGAGATAATAATAGTGCTACTCATAATGTAGTTGGAAGGATTAAATGAGATCCTTTTTGTAAAATGCTTAGAGCAGGGTCTGATAGATGATAAATGTCGATTGTTATCATGATGGGCCAGATGGGCTAAGGGTTAGAGGGCTAGAAAGGGAGCAAGATATGAATGTATGTTAACTGTGTGTGTGTGTATACCTGTGTGTGGATGTTTGTGTGTACCCCTGGGAGCATGTATGTATACCTGTGGGTGAGTGTGTGTGTATTTGTGTGTGTATATCTGTGTGTGTGTGTGCGCCTGTGTACCTTTGGGGGTGTATATATCAGGGATATGTTTGGTAGGTGTTGAGAGAACAGTGTAGGAACCACAGTTCAAGGACAGCCCTGACTTCTGTGCCACTGTTGACTATCTCTTGGGTTAAGAGTGTCAGCCTTGAAAAGTGTCTTCCATCAAGAAAGTCACTGGACAGTGTCAAGTTTTCCCTGACAGGAGTTCCTTTCCTTCCCTGATTAGACTTTAGGACTGAATCTGAAACCAGTTTTCTTCTTTCATCTTACCTCAGATACCCTACATGGTTAGTTTTCTTGTAAAACCAAAATGACTGCAACTCATTCCGCAGAGCTGGGGCATGCAGATAGGCTGTTGGTGGATGGCACTGAGCCATGGGGCTCTGGTCACTTGTAGTGTTGCTGCTGCAGTCCCTGAAGTGGACGGGACCTGGTCAAGGAGATGAGGACTTGTCACTTCTGCTCGGCTGTGTCGAAAAATGACAGCTGGGGCAGAGAAAGGGCCCAGGTTGGGGGCGATACACAGGGAGTGGGAGGGTGCCAGTGAAGGGGAGGGTAGAAGATCATATCTGATGAGAACAAAGGGGTTGAAGTCAGGATCACTTGCTGGAGGTGATAAGGACAGTGACTGGATACTGTGGGGAAGGTGGGCAATTCTACACGATTCCACTTCTTGGGAGATGAAATTAGAAAGCTCATTCGATACAAGCAAAATCTACGATAGACATGGGGTGGAGGGGGAAGGCATCCTGGTAACAGTTTTCTATACAGAATACTCAGGCATGTTTTCCTAAGGTCTGACGTTCTTGGGAGACTTCTGGCCATTTGGTGGTCACCTGAAGCCTATGTCTTTTTATTAAAAAAAACAATGTCACAAAGAGATGACAGATGAGGCATAAAAGGATGGAAAGAATTATTTTTGTTTCTGAGTACTCATTTGTTTAAACAAAAATGACTGAACAGTGTGTAAGGACTCTGATGTATTGTAGATTTAGACCAAAATCCATCCATCCATCCATGCATGCATGCATGCATGCATGCATGCATTTACTCAACAAATATTTATCATGTCAGATGAGGGTGAATAGGTGTTCTATTTTGCTGCAAAATTAGGAACACTAGTATGCAGTGTGTGACATAGGAGGCAGACAGTTTTTGTTTGAGGGATGGAATGAACGAACTGTCTCCGAAGAGAGTGAATTCCTCATCTTTTCGTTCTTCCTTCATTCAGTGAAGATTGCTGTATTCCCTTCTATGTGACAGAGATTTTCTGGGCACTGGAAATTTAGCAGTGGATAAGACACACCAAGTTCTACTCCAGTGAGAGTTTATGCTCCAGTAGGGTAAAAATGAAACAGATTGAGTTCTTGATTAGTGCTATAAATATAAAGTCAGCTGAGGGGCTGCAGTGATGGGGGGAATAGGGGAGCTATTTTAAAAAGAATGCTCCTGGAGCTCTCTCTAAAGAGGTGGCCTTTGAGTAGTGTCCTACATGCAGTGCGGGAGTGGGCTGCAGAGAAAAGTGTTCAGTCAGAGGGAATGGCAGGTGTAACTGTCTGAAGAAGGAAGGAGCTTGACGGGTTTGAGAAAGAAGGTCAGCATGGTTGGGGGGTGGGGGGAAGGGAGGAGGGGAGTCTGGACAGGAGTCGGGGCAAGAGTGCAGTGAGGCCTTGCAAGTCACAGGAAGGAGTTTGGATTTTATTGTGTGATGGGAAGAAGCCTGTTGAAAGCTTACAAGCAGGGAGACGATAAAATCTAATTTCTGATTTAGAAGACCATTCTGACTTGTACGGAGAACTGGGGTGTAGGGAAAAGGGGTCCTTTTGATTCAGTTCTGTTGATTGTCAGAAATGTTAAAGGAATAGCTGTTCCTATTTTTCTGATAAGACACTAGATATTACAGATACTGCAGTATTTTCTGTCCCATAGAATCTTGAAATCTTTCAAAAACACTTTCCATCCCGAACTAAAGTTTTACTAATTGAGCTGGTAATAGGTCAGACCAAACTATGTATTTAATATAGTTAGAATCTAGCCAAATGGTAGTTCAGTCCTTTGTTGTCATTAACTAAGTCTGTCCTAGAAACCATCATATGCTTTTAGTTATCAGAGTAGCGGCTCTGGGGAACAGATGATACTAAGTAGTTGGTACTACCCAGTTCCTGCCTGCCAGGCGTGGTTCCAAGCATTTTTAGTTACTTAGTTCTCACAACAATCTTCTGTGTTAGGTACTAATATAGTCTTCATTTTATGATGAGGAACTTGAGGCTCTTAGTGCCCAGGCAGCGTGCCCAAGAACACACAGCTAGCCATAGGCCCAGGAGCCGTCTTCTTTACGGACCCCTGTCCGTGAGGAGGGGTGCCCCTGGCCAAAAAAGATGCCGAACTGCAAGTCCCTTGGTGAGGATCGCTTCAGAAATTTCTTTGCCATGCCCAGGCTCAAGTCAAAGCCTGGCTCCTTCAAGTAGGCTGTAGTTAGTCCAGCCCTGCTGCTCTAAGAGTGTGAGTATGAAGTGCCGCGGACGCCACACCTGTCGCCATCGCGCTGACTTCTGGCTGTGGGGCCGCAGCTCCTAGCCCTGTTTGTGGACCTGTCAAGCTCGTTCCCTCCTGCCCCGAGCCCAGGCCGGCACTGTGATCCACCTGCCTGGCCTGACTCTGGTGCTGACTCCTCTCCTGGGGTCAGGAAAGAGGGTCAGGGAGGTAGAAATCCTTTTGTGTGACTGCCGATAGACCAGTGGAAGGGATCCTGGTTCCGTGGGACCCTGGTTCAGGTGGTTCCATCAAGTTCCATCGATTGGTGGTAGCCTCTGCTGTCACTGTGATCTTTGGGCTTTTAAGGGCTTCCTTGAGGAGGTTTTCAGCATCACCCCGGACTCTGTTGTCACTGACAACTCTCTGGAGGGCACTTATATTCCTTCTGGGATGCACTCTCCATACCTCCTTTTTAGGCTTTTTTACTGATTTAGACAAATGTGCATATACAAGTGTTCATGTGGGCAGCTTAACATGGGGCATCGTGATTTCACTCATAATTTTCCTAGTTATCATTGCAACAACAAACTGTGAGTTTTGTAGCAACTTTTTTATGTTGATCGTCTGTACACATTGGCCCAGTGCCAGTCAGGGTGGACCCAAGGCTCCTGCCACCCCCCTCCCCCAGCCCCTGGGCTCCTTCATGTAGAAACAAGGAAACTGCTCATCTGTACCCTCCAAGGGAGCAGAGAATGGGGGTGGGATGGGGCGATCGTGGCAGATGTTTCTTGGTGCTTCCCCCATGTGACTTCTGGGAGGGAGAAAGAGCTTCCCACAAAGCCTGTTCTACCTCTGAGATTTGCTTGCCTTTCCTTGCAGCCCTGTAAGGATGGGGCGGTGATTGTGGGTGGTGGTTGACCTGTCTGTCTCCGTGCCTCACAGGGAGCCCTGGAGGGACAGGTGATCCACAGAGCTGAACACCTTCTTCAGAATGTGAGATACTTGCTTTTTTGGGGTCCTCAGCTTTGGGCCTTATTTATAAGGACAGTGGAAAAAAAACACCCCCCTCTTTGACATCCTGGTAAAGAATTTTGCCCACAGATGTTCTTTAGTTCCTTTTTTCTTTCTCTTACCTTTTTTTTTTTTTAAACCAGAAAGTCTAAATTATTTGCTTAAAGGCATTCAGTAAGATGAAAACAGATCTAGAGCTAGAAGAAAATTTATTCTGGGATCTTTTTGTCATTGTTATTATATTACTCAATTTTTTCCCCATAAAATGTGAAAACTTCCTATTTTTCACCTCTACTACTCTACTGTATATGAGGTAAATCATGGAGTGTGTGATAAAAACAGTCAGGGACTCTGCTTTCCTTTGGATGATAGCCTGTGCTACCAGCTCAAAAGGCATCGATTGTGATATTTTGGCTCCTTGAATCCCTGCATTTTCCTGGAGAATTCATGCAAGGGCTTCTTCTTCTTTTTGATGTTTATTTGTTTCTAAGAGAAAGACAGCATGAGCATGAGAGGGGCAGAGAGAGAGGGAGACACCGAATCTGAAGAGGGCTCCAGGCTCCGAGCCGTCAGCACAGAGCCCAATGTGGGGCTCCATCTCACAAACCACAAAATCATGACCTGAGCCAAAGTCAGATGCTTAACTATCTGAGCCACCCAGGTGCCTCAAGCTCTTTTTAATTTATGTTTGCCATGTTGTTGCTCAGATTGGATATACAAGGGTTCCAGTGGGTGCAAATATGACCTTGCACTAACAAGAGTGTCAAAAGCCAAACCTGGTCCCTGAATGTAAAGATTGGGGCCAAGAATGGAGAGACATGGGATGATTCTCTTACATGCAGATCGATCCAGGCACATAGTAGAGTGTACTCAGTGTCTTTTCCCAAATTATAAATCTTTCCTTTCTGAACCATCTTTCCTCCACCCTGTGTGGTTCTGTTGTGACAATCTTTTGTGGTTATGGGAGCTGGCATATAACACAAATGTGTTCTGCTCAAGTGACCATAGAAGACTATTTTGTGCTTTTTGAGATCAAGGTGCTAGGGGTGGAGATGTGAATACTCCACTGCTGATTGTCATTACCCCTGCCATGTGGAGATAGCCTGTCTTCAGAATAAAACTGCATATAAAAGGAAGTATAGCTGAGAGCCAGAGAGAAAGACATTCAATGGCATTGTTTAAGCCGCTGGATCCAGCCATACCTGAAACCTCTTAGAATTCAACTTGTGTGAATCAACCTATTTCCTTTTCTCGATTCTCGGGGTATAGGAGTTGTATTTCTTTTATTCACAGCCCAAAGTCTAACAAGAGTACTCTGGAAATTATGACTAAAAATTTAGAAAAATTAGAAATCTAGGGAAAAGTAAATGAAGTGATCATTCAAGTCTGAAAAGGAGATTGTGTTTCTTTATGAATTTTTATCTTCATGTCCATTGATTGAGTACTAAAAGCTGAAGTTGAGATATATGTGTTCTATATAAGAACATATTTCTGGATATGAATGATTGTTATACACTAAGTCTCCGGGAACGGTTGGAAAAAAGTCATTGAAAATGGGATTGCCATTCTTATGTCCAGCCTGCTTTGTGCAGCGTTGCTTGAAAACAGATGACAGATGACTTCCTAAATCCCTTACAACCATCATTTCCTGAAAATAGTACTGTTTGTGGCAGCACTTGACTTAAAAGCCCTCCCCATACACCATCTATTTGTTGCACACAGTGAAGCTAATCCTGGGCTAGCCCCCAGGTTTCTGCCTGCTTCATCAGCTTTCTGTGACAGGTAAAAGATGGAAAAAAACAGCTGGGTGTGGGGGGGACAAAGGGGTTTTGCTCCACAGAGGGGCTCCCTCCAGCCATGAGCAGGTGGGATCTTTATGTCCCATGATTAAAGAGGCCGACTTAAAGCCCATCTCACCACATGCAGCTCTGCTGGGAAGGGAAATGGGGCAGGCAGGGACGTTTTTCTTATTCTTGAGTCCTGTTTTTGAAAGAAAAGAGTATTGGAGTTCTAAAAAATACTCTGAGGCGCTGAGTGGTGGCGGGGGGAGGAGTGGGTGGGCAGCGGGGAGGAGGGCAAAGTCTTGCTTTTAGGGGTGGGGAGAATGAGGGCACAGCTGGACCTGGCATTGGGTGATCTCTCCACAAGATGGCGCCCCTACTTCTTAGTCTTTGCTTTTAGTTCCAGTCTTGAAAACCTTGTTCAAATCATCACAGAACAAATGCAATCTTGACTTAGGATTCATAATTTATGAAGCTGACTTCATATGCTATCTCAAATCACGTGTTAGTGTGTTTCAGACAGAACTGGTTGGTTTTTTTTTTTTTGTATCATTATTATTAATGTGAGTGTGCCTATTCCCCACTTCCCCCCACCTTTCCTCCTGGGCACTGCTTCTGCCTCTGAGGCTCCACTCACGCCCCCAGGCATCAGGAGGCAACCTGGGGTAGAGCAGTGATTCTCAAACTAGCTCGTGGTGCTGGACCAAGTTCATTAAAATTTCCAATCTGTTGTGGGCTAACAATATCATCAAATAAAATAAAAATGAGTAACGAGAAAAGTTAAATGAAAAAGACATACAAAATACAAGCCTGATTCTTTTACTTGTAGTTACAACAGGTATAACATTACATTTTAATAGATGTAATCAACACGAAATAACATTGGAAAAAAGGTTTACTAGAACCACGTGATTGTTTTTAAAAATGCACGTATAGGAGATTAATGTAAGGAATAACTGTTATACTTGCAAGGTTTTGTTGTCCTACAATCATAACTAAGTAATAGTGATTCCCTTGTATTAAGCTACTTATATGCATGCTTTGAATTAACCCTGTGTAAACAATGTTTTTAAATTGTATTTAATTTTTTTTAATGTTTATTTATTTTTGAGAGAGAGAGAGAGAGAGAGCAAGCAGGGGAGGGGCAGAGAGAGAGAGAGAGAGAAAGAGAGACAGAATCTGAAGCAGGCTTCAGGCTCTGAGCTGTCAGCATGGAACCCAATGCAGGGCTTGAAACTGTGAGATCATGACCTGAGCTGCAGTTGGGACACTTAACCAACTGAGGTGCCCCTAAAATGTTTTCTTCTATGTTTACTTATTTTGACAGAGCGAGTGAGCATGAGTGAGTGGGGAGGTACAGAGAGAGAGGGAGAGAGAGAGAATCCCAAACAGTCTCTGCACTGTCAGTGCCGCTGGACACGATGGGGCTCGATCCCATGAACCATGAGATCATGACCTGAGCCGAAATCAACAGCAGGATGCTTAACTGACTCAGCCATGCAGGTGCCCCAGTATAAAATGTTTTTATGTGAACACATTAGCTTGCTTCTTGCTTAATTTATCTAATCTAGGTTGGATTAACGCAACACCACTTACAGGAGATAATGTATGTCTCAACTGTTTCTATGTTATATTCATAGCACTCAAAAGAGAAAAATGGGTATAATGAAAGAAAAAATTGCTTTGGAATAATTGATAGTAAAGCTAACTGTTTGTGACTTTATTTTTTCTTTCATTCTTTTCCTTCTCCATGAAAAGTTACTTTTTCCTGTTGCAATGTGCCTTTTCCCCAGTGTCCTTGTGTTTTTACTTCCAAGGGTGAAGCACTTGTGACTCTTCCCGGCCTGTTGCCCCAGAGGGTAGAAAGTGTCTGTGAGGGCATGTCTCATCTCCCAGTGGCCCTGCTCAATGACCAGCAGCCACAGCTAGAGGAAGGCTCTAGCTTTTTTCCACCTGGGACCGCTCTGAGTGTAATGAACCCTCCAGAGGTCTCCTGCGGGAGGGACCAGGTCCAAGGTTGTCCTCCATGGAAAAAGCCTTGCTTGCTTTCCCTCCCTACCTTGTCCTGCTTTCCCCTCTGCCTTACCCGTTCTTTTTCGGGGAGCCCTCCCTTAATAACCCACGTATGCACATGAATCGTTGTCTCAGTGTCTACTTCCAAAGGAGCCAGCCTGAGGCAGTATCGCATTTAGAGTATTTTAGCAATAGGCATGGCAGATCATAAAAATATCTTTATGTATTTTAAGTCTTTTGCTTTCAGAGATACTGATGTCCCATTATTGATACATAATCTAAATGACCACTTCGGGAAATAAATCAACCTAATTTAACTTCCTTGGCTTTTTAGAAACCAGACAAGCCAGAGATATGTAATGTACCAATTTTCTTTACCACATATTTGGAAACACTTGTCATAGACATACTCTGTTTTACATAAATCAGTGCATTTTCCCCCTCCTTGTTTTCAATTACTCTAAACCCAATCGTTTACCCTTAGAGAAGATAAACGTAAAAGCTTCCCCTCTCTAACAGCTTGAGGTGTGGCCAAAAGAGATTTTAGAGTTTTTTGCCCTAGATATTTTTTTTTTAATTTTTTTTTTAATGTTTTATTTATTTCTAGGAGAGAGAGAGAGACAGCGTGAGCAGGGGAGGGTCAGAGAGAGAGGGAGACACAGAATCTGAAGCAGGCCCCAGGCTCTGAGCTGTCAGCACAGAGCCCGACGCGGGGCTCGAACCCACGAACCGCGAGATCATGACCTAAGCGAAAGTCGGACGCTTAACCGACTAAGCCACCCAGGTGCCCCAACCCTAGATATTTTTAAAAGAGCTGCAGCCACATTAATCTGTTTTTGATGATACCCTCCCCTAGAACCATTCTGACGTGGTCACTTGTCATTTAGCTGTACTTGGAATTAAACAATATGACAAGACGTAACAAATTCAGACTAATTTGGAGGAATGCTGCTTTGAATTCGTGAAAACAATTCAAGAGTATTAAAAATGGAGAGCATTTTTATTGCCGCAAGGTAAATGTGTGCTGTCTTGTCAACGATCCTTTATTACACACACCTATTATGCACTAGGCGTTTGCATTCTCTCATTTAGTTCTTACTACCTTGCAAATGAGGTATATTTCTTCTCACTTTTTAAAGAGCAGATGAGGCATGGAGAGATTAAACTTTTTTTTTTTTTAAGGCTTGCAATTAGTAAACAATAGAGGTGGCATTTGAGTCTAGATCTTTCCACCAAGCCGTGCTGCCTCTACAGTTGAACAAAATTAGCTAACTAAATATTAGTGTACCTCATCGGCTTTAAGGAAGGGTCAATAACTATGTGTAATCGACATACTCATTTAGTATGCAAACAGTATTGTTAATGTGCCCGTTGCACGTTAAAGAAAAATAACAGTGATCTCCCTGGCCATCTTGTTTTAACAACAATAGCTACCATTTACTGATTGTTTCAGGCATCTTACATTCATGTCTACTTTATGAGTAAAGAATTCCTGGGTGGGTATTATCAACATCGATTTGTATTTGGGCAGATGGTGAAGCACAGAGACTTTTGATAATTTGTATCGCATCACATGGCTAGTAAAAGTGGGGTTTGGGCCCAGAAACCAGTGTGCTCAACAGCTATGCTCTTCACTGCTAACACTTACCTGAAACTTCCTTGGGTCACATGCGAAGGTGACTGCTAAGTGACAGCTGAACCAGTAAGTGGGAATAAGTAAGAATGAAGTTCTGACTTCCTTAAAGCATTTTGTTCCTCATTGATGCCAAGTAGGTCTAGAGAAAGAGGAAGCAAAGCCAGAGATATGACAGCAGCTTGGCTTGATGTTAAAGGCATGCTTTTGTTCTTACTCCACCATTTCAGTTTTCTCACCAGCTTTGATTCCCTTCCTACTGTTCACCTGTAAACAAAACCACTGTTCCCCTTTTTTTGGAGTGGGTTACTAACAAACTCACAGGGTTCATCATAGCCAGGTGTTTCTCTGCACCTGGTGTGTCTCATCTTCAGAGCAAAGGGATTCATAGACAAACACAACAGGGCTCATTGTAGTCTACACAATTAATCATTCTAGGTTTCTGATTTGCTCTTGAAAGTTGCTATGTTCCTGTAATGGGAAAAAGACAGCTCCATTTATCACACTGCACCTCGTGCTGCTCCTTGGCATCTTCCCCTGGGTCCCTCACCATCCACAAACTTCTGAAACATCTGCTGTGGGTACCATGGTTGGGATTTCTTCACATTCTCTGTTCTACTTGCCTTCTTAGCATCCTTGTTTAGGCTTCCCTTTTATGACCAAAGACACAAGTATTCTCTGTGGAGATGAACAATTAGCAAGTTCATTACTTATGGTGGTATTCATTGTTCTTTGCCAAAGGTTACATTTTTGTATATGACATTTTGCCCAATGTTGTCAAAAGAGCACTGGACTGGGAATTAGCTTTGCTGCATTTTTGTCTTGGCTCTACCACTAATGGTTTGTCTGGGCTTGGGTGAGCTGCTACACCTCTCTTGACTTTTGGTTGAGATGAATTTAATAATGAATCTAGATTATATCAGTGCTTCTCTACCTTGGATACACATTAGAATCACATCAAATGCACAAAACCCTAATCCCCAGGTCATAATCCAGACCAACTAACTCAGAATCTCTAGAGGAACAGGACCCCCTGGCACTGATATTCTTAGTCTTACCCAAGCTCCTCAGGGGATTCTTATATTGACTTAGGTTTGAGAACCACTAGCCTAGGAGTAAGGATTCTTTAGTCTCTAAAGAGACATCTTTTTCCCAAGATGGGAGAATTAAGGGGTGCCTGGGTGGCTCAGTCAGTGAAGCGCTGACTTTGACCCTGGGCATGATCTCATGGTTCATGGGTTTGAGCCCCGCATTGGACTCTGTGCTGACAGCTCAGAGAGGAGCCTGCTTCAGATTCTGTGTCTTCCTCTCTCTGCCCCCCTCCCAGTCACACTCTGTCTCTCTCTCAAAATAATAAACATTAAAAATTTTTTAAAAAGATGGGAAAATTAAGATCACATTTGTACAAAAGGGGAAAAGACTCCGTAGAGAGGGGTTTGGTGATACAGAAGAGGGTGAGTGGAGATGCCTCCACATCTTTGAGGAGGCAAAAGACCGAGTGCTCAGATGGAAGGGGAAGTGCATGGAGAGTACGTTTTCAAGTGCAAAACCACACTGTATGAGTGCAGAAGTTGGTAGGTAGGTGGATGCAGTGGCAGAAACCCACAGAGGTGGTCTTTCTGGTTGCTCCAGTTCTTTTTTAACATGAAATTCATCAGAATGGATGGGAAAGATGGTGTTGGAAGGGTTTTAAGAGAGGGGAGGTGTGAAGGTCATCTATAAGAATGAAGAGTAAATGTACCAGAGAAATGTGGTAGAACTGTCAGAGATAGTAAGAGCATATTTGAGGTTAGTCCGTGTGATTGTGTGCATTTTGCCAAATGGGGTCCTGTGGAGTTTGGACAGTCTTTCTGATGACTGCTGTAATCCCAGCTAGTGGTTTCTGCTTGCATACTACCTGCTGTGTTCGGCCTAATCTTGGGTCACTTGTTGCCTTTGCACTATCTGGAATGGCCACTTGTTCTGTTTATTTTATTCAGCTTTATTGAGATATAATTGGTCTATAACATTGTGTAAGTTTAAGGTGTACAATGTGTTAATTTGATACACTTATATATTACAATATGATTACCCTTCTGTCACATCACATAATTCATGTGTGTGTGTGTGTGTGTGTGTGTGTGTGTGTGTGGTGAGAACATTTGAGATCTACTCTCTTAACTGCTTTCAAAGATACAGTGCGGTATTGTTAACTATATTCACAATGCTATGTATTAGGTCCTTGGAACTTATTCATCTTCTAACAAATTTATACCCTTTAATCAAAAATCTCCCAATCACTCCCATCTCCCCAGTCCCCGGTCACAACACTTCTACTGTGTTTCTATGAATTCAGCTTTTTTTTTTATGATTCCATATATATGCAGTATCATACAGTATTTATTTTTCTCTGTCCGACTTATTTCACATAGCATAATGCCCTCAAGTTCCATCTGTATTGTAGCAAATGACAGAAAATCCTTCTTTCTGATGGCTAAGTAATACTCCACTGTGTCTGTGGGGGGGGGGTGGGGGGCACATCTTTATCCACTCATCTATATCTTGGCTATATGAATAATGCTGCTGTAAACCTGGGAGTGCGGACGTCTTTTCAATGTCCTGTTTTTATTTTCTTTGTGTGTGTGTGTGTGTGTATATATATATATATACCATATATATATGGTGTAAACCTGGGAGTGCGGACGTCTTTTCAATGTCCTGTTTTTATTTTCTTTGTGTATGTGTGTGTATATATATATATATATATATACATATATATATATACACACACACACCAAAAAGGAATTGATGGATCATATCATAGTTGTATTTTTAATTTTGGGGGGAATCTCCTTACTGTTTTCTGTAGTGGCTGTACCAATTTAAACTCCAACCAGCAGTGTTCAGGAGTTCCCTTTTCTCCACATCCTTGCCAACACTTGTTATCTCTTAGTTGTTTTTTTTTTTTTTTTGATAGCCTTTCTAATAGATGTGAAGGATATCTCATTGTGGTTTTGATGTGCATTTCCCTGATGATGAGTGATATTAAGAATTTTTTCATGTATCTGTTGGCCAGTGGATGTCTTCTTTGAACAAATATCTGTTCAGTTCCCTGTTCATTTTTAAATGGATTACTTGGATTTTTTTTGCTATTGTATGATTTCTTTGTTATATTTTGTATATTAAGTATCAGATACATGGTTTGCAAGCATTTTCTCCCATTCTGTAGGTTGCCTTTTCATTTTGTTGTTTCCTTTGCTGTGCAGAAGCTTTTTAATTTGATGTACTGCCATTTATTGATTTTTGCTTTTGTTCTTTGTGCTTTTTGGTGCTGTCATATCCAAAAAATCATTGCCAAGATGAATGTCAAAGAGTTCTTATGTTTTCTTCTAGGAGCCTTGATGTTTCAAGTCTATGTTTCAGTGTTTATTCCATTTTGAGTTAATTTTTGTGAGTTGTATAAGGTAAGGATCCAGTTTCATTTTTCTGTATGAGATTATCCAGTTTTCCTAACACCATTTATTGAAAAGACTATCTTTTCTGCCTTGTGTGTTCTTGTCTGCCTTGTCGGATATTAGCTGACTGGTCATTCCTGTTAGATCATGCCTGAACTGCTGGCCACTGCAGCTGGGTCTGATCTCTTAGCCTTCTCTGGCTTTAGAGAGTGGGGGATGGCCTTGGCTTCTGGCTTACCTGACTTTCTGAGGACTCACTGTACTTTCCCCTGGAGACAGTCAGAGGTGCCTTCTAGAAGGTGGTGAGCTGCGGTGCCATACAAATGAAGGAATTATAAAGGAATGGTTAGTGAATTAGAATCTTGTTCAAGAGAAGCTGCCTAGGGATATTTTTCCTGCTTGGAGCAAGACCATCGTGGAACAACACAGCGGTTTCCCCCAAATTTCCTTAGACATGAAAGTGATGTGATGTGCACAAATAGTAAAGTCATGCCTCTAAGGTTAGAAAATGTTTTAGTTAGGACAAGTGGCTTTTGATTGTCTAAAAGTCACCTAAAGTGCTAAATGGTAAACCAGGTCATCTAAAGTAATAAACTTTCAGACCAAGCTGAAAGAAATGGCAAACTTCAGGAAAACTCAGGCTCCGTGACAGTACTTTTCTGAGATAGTGGAGACCGAGTAAATAAAATTTTTAACATATTCTTTTTAGTGCCAAGTCAAAAGGATTGGGAAACTAAGAGCCAGCAGGTGATTAAATGGGAGTATTCAGAGAATAAAATGGACATTGTGCTCTTCTTGTTGAATAGGTTCTACATAATATCTTTAGATTTTGGCATTGAAAAGTAGAAGGAAAGAGGCCCCTCCATTAGTTTGGCAGATTTATCAAGCTGAGCTATGTCAATTGTATTATGCTGTTTCCAAGAAGACAGTAGAGCTTGTGAAATTTAACAGTGTCTGTCACCACTTGACATATTGGCTAAAACAAAAGCAGATTGAGGAAATGACTCACAATAGTTAATTGTTTCAATAGTCAGTCTTTCCCATCTGCACAGTGCGTTGAATTTGATGACATCTGATGGGAACTTTGTGGAAAATTAATGCACCAAATTGTTTTCAAGAAGCAAGCCCTCTCTTTGCTTTTTTAGTAGCTGCATGTCAGTATCTGAAATCTCCATTTTATCTCGTTTTTGGTTTAGGTAAGACTACAGACTATCTTGACTTATGGAATACAAAAAGAAAAGCCTTAGCATTTGTAAAAAGCAAAATCAGTCAATAGTAATTCAAAATCTGTTTCTTCACTTAAAGAATAGATTACGTATTTTGGCTTTGATAAATTCGAAAACAAAGGGAAAAAATGTTCACAAAGAGCCAAATTCAGGATGATATATGCAGCAAACATTCATCTTCCATTATCACATGAATACATAGCACATCTGGCTGCAGAATCTATGATGCCACTCCACAATTTATTACGCTTTATGGGAAACCATTAATTTACAACAGTCGCATTAATGTATAGCTCTGTGGTTTATGTTTACCCTTGATAGATCTAGGTCTTTCACGGTGCTGAATTCCTTTGAAGACCCCACTTAAAAATTCAACTGACTTATCTGACCTGAAGAACAGCTTTATATTCTGAAGGTGTGGCTATCAAGTAAGAACAGCAAGTTTCCTTTCTTGGATATCTGCCCATGGGGATAAAGCTTAA